GCTGGTTTGTAAGTAGTGCTGATAAGCTCTCTCATGTTGCTTTTGAAGGCATTTTGTCTGCCTCTCAGCAGTTCTAAAAAATCATATTGAGAGAATCCATAACAGGGTAGTTTGGGAGGGGGTCAGTAACCAAACTTGTGATGATGCTTTTTGTACGGGGAGCAAATATTCCGGCAAGCCCGTACTCCTTTCTTCCGAGCTCCGTTTCTGTCCGATCACCTGCGAGCACAATGAGGGTGAGCTACCCGGCGGTGTGTGGCCGGAAAACCCCTCCGACGATCTAATTAGCACACACCTTAGGAAGAGCAGATATAGAGTTTGTGTTAGAGTGTAAGAGTTCCTTACAGAATGTTCGTCCCGCGTATGGGGGTGCAGACATGCTTATATACCCTCTGCGCCCCATATCCACTCCTAGTCATCTCCTGACACGTGGCTCCGCTATCCCATCTGTCAGCGTAAACCTTGCTGAACATCATCTAACCTCAACTGCCTGCCTTCTCAGCTGGAGCTCGGCAGCCGAGTTGCTCTATCCACGGCCGTGCTGTGCTTCATACCCAAGCACTTCACTGGCTAAGCCCAAGGAGGACCGGGCTAGGTGGCATCTCGGCAAAGCCTAGCCCGGGGCACCTCCTGTGGTCGGCCTTCCTGCCGATCAAACGATTACCTCGGCTGACCACGCCTTTCTGGGCGCCGGTCACTCAGCTTGACTGGCTCCACCATCGCCTGATCAAGCAGCTCGGTCCAACCGAGCACTGCCTTACCGAGCAGCTTCTTTACGGTTTGGGGCGGCACATACTTGGCCCAAGAACTCAACTATCTCGGTCCTCTCTTGGGCAGTAAGGTTGGAATCGAGCAGGAAGAACTTATCCGGCCGCTCTATATCGAGTCGCACCTCAACTAGGTCCTCCACAGCTTTGTCCTCTGCCTTAGTGCCCACGTCCTCCAGAACTCCTCGGTCTTCCGGTCCTTCTATCATTTGCATGAACCCTTTGGCAGCCCGGCTGCCGTTCACCGCCACGAAGCACTGTTTGGACATGACTTGATCCCCCCAGATCTCCTCGATTGCCCCCATAGCCGAGGGGAATCTCATCACCTGGTGGTAGGTCGACGCTACAGCTTGCATAGCGTGAAGCCATCCCCTTCCCAGGATAAGGTTGTACGTCGAAGGCACTTGTAGCACCCAAAACTCCACTTGCTTGACCACGGATCCCACTTTAACCAGCAAGATAATCTTTCCCAAGGGCCACTCCGGTTGCAAGTTGAAACCAACCAGTGGCGAAGTTGCTGGAGCCAAGTCTGTCTCCCGGAGTTTGAGCTGCTTGAACGCATCAAAATACATGATCTCGACCGAGCTTCCCTGATCGATCAAGATCCGTTTAACATCAAATTCCTTGACGCGTAGTGTTACTACTAGGGCATCGTTGTGCGGCGTCTGGATACGCTCTAGATCCCTTGAAGGTGAAACTAATCGCGTCTTTTTCTCAGTCTTCCCTCTTTTGATGGCAGGCTGTACCGACAAAACTTCCCTCATATGCTCTGCCTTTTTTATCATGCCTCGGAGTTCGCAAACACGCTCCGGTTCCACGATGCCATGGATGACATTAATAACCTTGTGGTGGTGCGTCTCGGTCATCCTGTCCCCTGGGATCGACCGGAGCCTGATTCGCATCAATGTAAAGGTCGAGGTGCCCGGCCGCGACCAGCTCTTCTAAGTGTTGCCTCAAAGGCAAACAATCCTCAGTCCGGTGGCCTCTCTCCGGTGGAATGTGCAACGATAACCAGCGGATTGTAGCCCTTCTGTCCATCGCCCAACTTAGCAGGAAACCGGACATACTCCTCGTCTCGGATTTCACTAAGTATGCGATAAATCGGAATCTTGAAGACCGTAGTGATGCTAGTTTTTGCCTTCAATCTTCTGTTGGCATCCGCAACATCATCTCGGGTGTAGTCATCCCGGTCGTTCCGACGTCCTCTACCCCGGTTCTTACGATTCGAGCCGCGGTCTGATTCCTCTGCTCTGTCACTTGAGCGGTTGGACTCTCGCCCAACTGCGTGCACTTTGCCTACCATCTTCTTATTTGTTGCTACCGGGGTTGACTTCACGGTAGATGCTGACGCATCATTCTCGACCCGGATGTGCTCATTGATGTGCTGCATAAGCTGGCCCATGGACGTCGGTTGGTGCATGGCGAGCGAGTCCCGCAGTCTATGTCCGACCGGGAGACCACGCTTGTATTGAGTGATTGCAAGGTTGACCGGGCAATCCAAGATCTCGTTGAAGGTCTCCCAATACCTGGAGTTATATGCCTTCAGTGTGTCGCTCGGTTCCATCTTGACACTTAGTAAGTGATCGACTTCCTTTGGTGTTTTTGTGTTGGTTTTGAAGCGCGTCACAAAGGCTTCGGCCAACTGGTGCCACCTTTGTATGCTCGCTTCCGGTAACCTCTCGAACCACTTCAAGCCCAGCTCGCCTAAACTTGACGAGAAGATAAGGCACATAAGCCCGTCATTCCTCTGATGTCCGGCCATAACTTGTCGGAAGTGGCTTACGTGCATGTAAGGATCAGTTTTTCCGTCGTAGAGTGTGAACTTAGGCTGGTGGAAGCCTGCCGGAAGCAGTGTTGTTTCTATTTCTGAGGAAAAAGGGGTGGCGCTCAGCCTGGCCAGGTCCATATCTACAAAGAGTGGCGCTGCTTGGCGGGGTGGGGGGATTCCGACCTCCTCGCTGGCGTGAACCCCATAGGATAGCCGTTGAAACGCCGGCACCCTTTGTGCCTCCCGACAGCGAGCTATTTCCTTCAAGACTGCCCGCAAATCCTCTGAGTGAGCAGAATATGAGTACCTCGACGTCGTCACCGGACGCAAGGGCTGGTATGTGTTATCCTGCGCGCTAGACTTCTCTGCATGCACGTCGGAATCACCAACCTGGTAACTTCTGGTAATAGAGATGGATGGAGTGCATCGCTGACTCTGACTGCCTGAATAGCGAGATGGGGTGCGTTCACTGTGGTCACCCATTCCAGCTACACCCTTCCCTTTGACATGCCGCTTGAGCTCCTCCATCTCCGCCGCCATTCGCCGGATGACAGCGTCTTGGTCCCTCAACTTGTGTTCCAGACGTCGGGCATGTGATTCTCTCCGCCGCCGATGACCGTCCGGACTTCGTGAATGACCACAACTTCTTCCGCGCTTATCCCGCGCGTCTCCTGACTGTCCTCCAGGGTGTCTCCAAGTCCGCCATTGGATGGATGGCGGGAGGTCCTTCTCTCCTTCGGGTGAACTCCGGGGTGGCTCCGTCTATGGCAGACAAGGGAAACTCTTCGTTGTTCACCATGGACGGCGATCAGACGAGCCTGAAAGACAAGGTTTTGTCTGTCAAACTTCCCACAGACGGCGCCAATTGTACGGGGAGCAAATATTCCGGCAAGCCCGTACTCCTTTCTTTCGAGCTCCGTTTTTGTCCGATCACCTGCGTGCACAATGAGGGTGAGCTAGCCGGCGGTGTGTGGCCGGAAAACCCCTCCGACGATCTAATTAGCACACACCTTAGGGAGAGCAGATATAGAGTTTGTGTTAGAGTGTAAGAGTTCGCGTATGGGGGACGCAGACATGCTTATATACCCTCTGCGCCCCATATCCACTCCCAGTCATCTCCTGACACGTGGCTCCGCTATCCCATCTGTCAGCGTAAACCTTGCTGAACATCACCTAACCTCAACTGCCTACCTTCTCAGCTGGAGCTCGACAGCCGAGCTGCTCTATCCACGGTCGTCCTGTGCTTCATACCCAAGCACTTCACTGGCTAAGCCCAAGGAAGACCGGGCTAGGCGGCATCTCGGCAAAGCCTAGCCCGGGGCAGCTCTTGTGGTTGGCCTTCCTGCCGATCAAATGATTACCTCGGCTGACCACGCCTTTCCGGGCGCCGGTCACTCAGCTTGACTGGCTCCACCATCGCCTGATCAAGCAGCTCGGTCCAACCGAGCACTGCCTTGCCGAGCAGCTTCTTTACGGTCTGGGGCGGCACATACCCGGCCCAACTCCTGGCAGCCCATCTCCGGGCGGATCGCCGGTCATCTCGGCCCCATGCACCATTAGGCTCTCAACTTGCTCGGCCGTTACCTTGGCCCAATTCCAAATCATAAATCTCCCTCTCACTTTTGATCCTTCTATGGTCTTGGTCCCTTGATCTCATGAATGCCATATGTATTGAATGAGTTGATGGCTCCGTTCTGGAATTCCAACTTGGCTCTATTCTTAGCCGTATCTGTTCGATCCACCATATCGTATCAACGGGGTGAATTACTTTTCTCCCTTGATCTAACAATAGGCTCAGAGGGTGATTCTCCATCTTGTGTATTATGGTCTCTAGTCATGGGATCTCTTCGGTCTCTATGGTGGATTCCTAGATCAGGTAGTTTCCTGTGTTTGGGGGTTAAGAGTTCATCTATACTTCTAGGTATGAGATTTGAGAATGGTGCATTTGGTGTTTGGTTTGAAGGTACTTCCTTTGATGTCTTACCCAGTAATATTTCTGGGGTTGCAATTTCTTTTCCCAAAGGACTGGGATTGGCAGTCGACTGAGCATTAGGCTAGTGGCTACAGGTTGCCTGGGACAGAGTGTCTTTGTCTTTGGCTTCGTTAGCCTTAGGGGAGGACTGATATGGTTGGCTATGGATTTGTTTTTGATTCGTGGCAGGCTATTGTGGGTTTGGATCTTGTGGATTGGTGGCTTTGATCTGGCTTGACCCAGCATGGGTTTGAAAGTGTGGGTTGGATGCTTCCTTATCTATGCCCAGTCTTGTAGTTTTCTTCCCTTTACTGTGGGCTTCTTCTTGTTGGATTCATTTACCCAATTCTGTGAACCTATTTGTGTTTGGGCTTGACGTAGGTGGTTGGGCTTTTCTGTTAATTATGGCCTTATGAGTTCTCTTAGTGACCATCATCTAAGGCCTATATGTATCTTCTTCTCCGCCTGTTTGTTGTAGGTTACTGTTGGTAACAGAGGTAGCCGTTGTAGCTTGATCTTTGTTTCCTAAAACGGCTAGTTGTCTTTCCTCCACCGGCGGCATGGTCCGATGAGCCTCTTGTGGTTTGGGCTTCGCCGCTTGGTATTTGCACAATTCTTTGCGATGATCTACCCTGCCACAGAAAAAACAGAATGAGTGGATGGATTCATATTCTATATTGTAGCTTTTCTGTCCTAATATGAATCGTGGACATAGTAGCTTGCTTAGATCCACTTCAATGCACACCCGAGCAAATCAACCTTTGGTAGCCATACCTGTGGTCAGATCAATTTTCAGGAGTTTACCAATCTATCTGGCTATTACATAGAGCACTTTCTCTTAGAAAATATTCTATCGGAAGCTCTGAAAACCTAACCCATGTGACGATAGAGGTTCAAAGACTTTCGACACCTTAAAGTCAAGCTCCCATTTACGCACCGTAAGGTAGTGGTCCACGATGACCCACGGTCAATGATGAAAATTTGAATAAGGAGTAATTGTTGCCTAGATCTATGGCATTAAATTCTTGTTGTATGCCCCATAAGTTTTTAACTCTTGGGCAGGGCAATTTGTACCAATGCTTTTACCTAGCAGTCGGACTACTAAGGCATTAGTCCATTTCGAATCTGCTCCAGCAACTTCTTAGGGAGTTGAACTTGTGGGATGCCCTGGTGGTTCTGGTGAGGATGGTCTTGATGGATGTGGGCGTCGCTCTCATCATGTTCCTCGTCCGCCGAAAGCTGATCCATGGTCTCATCAAAGTAGAAATCGTTGTTTTTGGGAGCTGCTAGAGCTTCCTTGAACGACTTTATCTTCTGGCCCTCAGTTGGTAGGGGGGAAGAAGTTGCAGAGGCTTGCGAGCCATGCTCAGTCAAGTGGTGGGAGAACAAGCTAGGGATTTCAGCAATATCAATGCCGTCTTCACCTGTATCTTCTTTGTTTTTGATCTTCTTAGTGCTTCGGATCAAATGATCTTACTCCTCTTGGGATTTCATGACTGAAACTGAGTTGTAAGTCGTTGGGTCACTCATTCTAGAGAGAGAAGTTCCAAGTGTGACTCTTTTTGATTAGTCTGCCAAAGTGTCCAACCTCCTTTTTTATTACACACATTCATATCTTCTAGACAACAGCACTACCAACAAACCCAACAATGGCATCCCAAAACACCCTCCTCCTTCGTCTCTCTACCCTCTTCATCTCCCTCTCTCTCCTCACCCTCTCCTCCGCCGACGACGCCTCCGTGATGACCAAGTTCGCCACCACCCTCTCCCCTCCCCCCTCCGACTGGACCGGCACCAACCCCTGCTTCTGGTCCGGCATCAACTGCGACACCTCCAACCGCATCACCGCCATCAACCTCCCCTCCAAATCCCTCTCCGGCTCTCTCCCCTCCACTCTCAACCAGCTCTCCAACCTCCAATCCATCTCCCTCCAGCGCAACTCCCTCTCCGGCCCCTTACCCACCTTCGCAAATCTCTCTTCCCTCCAACAAGTCTTTCTCGACGCCAACAAATTCACTTCCATTCCCTCCGATTTCTTTTCCGGCCTCACCAATTTACAGACTATGAGTCTCAGTGACAACATAAATCTTGCTCCGTGGACTATTCCCTCAGATCTCGTTCAGTTGAGTAGTTTGGAAAGTTTCTCCGCTAGCAACGCAAATATTGTCGGTTCGATTCCGGATATTTTCGATTCTTGTCCTAATTTGCATAACCTTCGACTCTCTTATAACAATCTTACTGGTTCATTGCCTTCGACTTTTGCGGGTTCCAAGATTACTAATTTGTGGCTTAACAATCAGTTACATGGGTTTTCTGGGACTATTGATGTGTTGTCTTCGATGACCGAGCTTTACCAAGTGTGGCTTCACGCGAATTCCTTCACGGGTACGATTCCAGATTTGTCAAAATGCACCAATGTCTTCGATATTCAGCTCAGGGACAACCAATTCACCGGAGTTTTGCCTCCATCGTTGATGGGTCTTACTAAACTCGCTAACATTTCTTTGCAGGACAACAAATTGCAAGGTCCTATGCCGGTTTTTGGTCCCGGAGTTACTGTCTCCCTCGGGGTAACCAATAGGTTCTGCAAGAGCACTCCAGGGCCTTGTGATCCACAGGTCACTGCTCTTCTTGCTGTTGCTGGGGCTCTTGGGTATCCCTTGACTCTTGCTCAGTCTTGGCAAGGCAATAGTGGTTGTTCTGGATGGACTTTCATTACCTGTGATTCGCAGAGCAATGTTATAATTGTCAATTTTGGGAAGCAACACTTCTCGGGTTTGATCTCACCTGCCTTTGCGAATCTAACCTCATTGAAGAGTTTGTATTTGAATGATAACAATCTCATGGGTTCAATTCCTGATGTCTTGACAACTCTGCCTCAGCTTCAGGTTCTTGATGTGTCAAACAACAATCTTAGTGGACCAATACCGGTTTTTCAATCAACTGTGAAGTTTAGTTCCCCTGGTAATCTGTTTCTTGGGAAGAACATTACCACTGGAAGTGGAGGAAATGGTGGAAATGGTGGACCTTCTGGGTCTGGATCGAATTCGATCACACTCGGAGGAAGTCCTTCGGGGACATCAAATGGGTCTTCTTCTATATCGGCAGGCATGATTGCTGGTGTGGTTATTGCTGTTGTGGTGTTTGTTGGGGTTGTGTTGTTTGCATCTTACACACGCTGTGTCATGAAACGCCATCAGGGATTACGGAGAGTCTATGGTTCTGAAATAGGGCCAGAAATGGTAATGTCTGCGGTAGTGAGTGTTGTGAATGGGCACGGTGGTGTCCCTAGTGAATTACAGAGTCAGAGCAGTGGTGATCATGGTGACATGCCCACCTTTGAAGGTGGGAATGTTGCAATTTCGATCCAAGTACTTCGTCAAGTGACCGACAACTTTAGTGAAGAAAATGTGTTAGGCAGAGGAGGATTTGGAATTGTTTACAAAGGGGTATTGCATGATGGGACTATAATTGCTGTGAAGAGGAAGGAATCTGGGGCAATGGGCACCAAAGGAATGAATGAGTTTCAAGCTGAAATTGCAGTGTTGACAAAAGTTAGGCATAGACATTTGGTTGCTCTTCTAGGGTACTGTATCAATTGCAATGAGAGACTTTTGGTATATGAGTACATGCCTCAGGGGACTTTGGCCCAGCATTTGTTTGAGTGGCGCAGGCTTGGGTATCCTCCTCTTACTTGGAAGCAGAGGGTGACAATAGCATTGGATATGGCTAGAGGGGTTGAGTATTTACATAGCTTAGCACAACAGAGCTTCATTCATAGAGATTTAAAACCATCGAACATACTTCTTGGGGATGACATGAGAGCCAAGGTTGCAGATTTCGGTTTGGTAAAGAATGCATCCGACGGAGAGGATTCTTTTGAGACGCGGTTAGCTGGAACGTTTGGGTATCTTGCACCTGAGTATGCTGGTAAATACATTCTTTTCTGTTTCTTATTTCATCGTGTTTATAAACATTTAAATTGGATATTGTACAGGTTTTTTATTTTTATGTTCAATCAAAAACTAATTGTTCCTTTCCGGGTAGATGCATCAACTGCTCTAGGCATAGTTGTCTTTTGATGAATTAATGCCTTAGTACTAGAGTGTCCATTGCTGATTTTGTTTTAGCATTGCACTCAACTTTCAATTGTGGAATTAAGACATCAGAGGTCGGAAGTTATGTAAAGCACAAGTAGAATTAGCAATCTATAGCTAAAATCTTATGTTCCCTTGAGGCAATTTCTTTCTTTTTTACTCAGATGATTGATCATTTGGATAATATCATTATGAACCGTTCATTTTGTTCACTTATGCCTTCTTTCTTTCTTTCTTTCTTTTTCTTGTTACTTGTAGATATTCTTTGCTGAGTATTGTCCAGAAATCTGTGACCTTATCTTTGTCAATGGGACATGAAAGTTGTTCATATTATATTTTTCAGTTCTAGTTGTGAACCAATTAATTCTGTTTGTAATATGATACAAATTGGATTTTAGTCATCCTTTTAGTTATACATTTTTTTTCTTCTTTCATGTTCTGTGCTGTATTTTGGAGCTTTGTTAAGTATGATTCTAAATTATTTGGCTTTGCGAATTTTAACTGAGATTAAATTGCTCTTTCAACATCTATTGAGGTCTTGGTTGTCAACTACATATTTTAGTCAAAAAGTCAATATTACATCACTGTCTTTATTTTTCTCTATATCTTTTCGTAAAAAGTTGAAAAATTACTAACTTGTTTCCAAATGAGGCATGAGTTACCCGTGAAATCTACTTACTCTATTTCGTTTAACAACAGCTACGGGAAGAGTGACTACAAAAGTGGATGTCTATGCATTCGGCGTCGTTTTGATGGAGATCATCACAGGAAGAAAGGCACTACATAAGACAGTGCCAGGCGAGAGGGCTCATTTAGTCCCATGGTTCCGAAGAGTCCTAATCAAGGAAAACATTCACAAGGCTATCGACCAAACTCTTGACCCTGATGAAGAGACTTTTGAGAGCATTAGCAAGGTCGCTGAGCTGGCAGGTCACTGTACTGCTTCTGAGCCATTGCAAAGACCCGATATGGGCCACGCTGTCAACGTGTTGGGTCCTCTTGTTGAGCAGTGGAAACCTTCGCACGAAGATGAAGATGAACATGAAGATGGCTTTGGCAGTGACCTCCACATGAGTTTTAGTTTTGATTAATTTTGAAGTGTATAAGCTAACCATAAGAAAATAATATGTTGTTTTAATGTAACTAAAATGGTTGAAAACAAACTAGATAATATAATATTAAATAAAATATTTATATTGTAAAAAATTTATTCACTCCTCAATTTGCTATTTGATTGTGTATTGGGATTATAACATGATTAATCCATGTAGTTTCAACGATATCAATTTTGTTAAATAATTTTACATTTAAAAAATATATTTTTTATTTTGTTTTTTAAAATTATATTTTAGTTTTTTGAAAAAATAATTTTTATTTTTATTTTTGAAGAAAAATATTTTGTCATTTTTTTTGGAAATATTACTCATAAATCTCATTTGAAGAAATGTTAGTCCATTTCGTCTTACATGTTTTTTTATAAACCAAATAATCTTTTTTATTTGTAGTATGTATTATCGATTTGATTTAGTAATATTTGAGTTTACTAGTTTGCCCCTAGGGATGGCAATTTGAACCCGGCCCGACGGGGACCCGACCCCCCGACCCCGATCAGAATGGTTTTTTCCCGAAAAATACCCCCGTGGGGACGGGGATGGTATTGAAAATTAAATCCCCGAAGCATTTCGGGAATATTTATCCCAAAAAAATAAAATTAAGAATTTTTTTAAATATTTAAAAAAAAATAAATCCAAAACAATTTTGAAATAGGTGAAGTACCAATAAATTCTAAATACTGATCTTATGATTTGTTTGGTCCTTCATTTTTTTCTTATGGTCTCAAATGTCTCATTTTAGTGTGAATTACATAAAGGGCCAAGTATAAACTTGCGTGTGTTATGTGTTGATGGACAAATGTGAGTTTTTCTTATAATGTTGAAATTATTAAATGTAACACTTCAAAAAAAAAAAAAAACTCTTTAGTTTACTTTTTCCAAACGTAACACTTTAATGCAATACTTAGAAAATATAACACTCCAGTGTAACACACTAAAAAACTCTTTAGTATATTTTTCTCAAACGTAACAACGTAACATTTTAAAAAAACTTCTCAGTGTACAACGTAACATTTCAAAAGAAAAAAAAAAATTCGCTAGTGTATATATATATTTTTTCAAATGTAACACTCCAATCAATATAACATACGAAAATTCTTTAGTGTATTCCCCCCCCCCAAACGTAGCACTCTCTAATGTAAGACCAGAAAATTATACTAACAAAAATATAAATTTACACGCTCGACGATCAACACTTCAGCCACTAATCCCTCCAAAAGGAATCTTCCTGTGAGACCCCTAACTTTTGTAAACCTTATTAAGTCCCTAAATTTTGAGTTGTTATAATAAAACTTTTAGTTCTTTGTTTTTTTCACAAATTTAACCAAATCGGCCCCGATAGCTTAGGTAGCATTCGGTAACATTTATGTTTTTGGTTTATGTTTACAAAAATTTTATATACTAGGTTTTGTTTATTTTTAGAAAAACATAAACTATAAACGCGTTCGGTTTGAACAAATTGATTGAAAAATTTTAAAAACATAAACTGAAAAATATATTTGTTTAGTCTTATAATATTTATATTTATTTTTTATTATTTATGACAACTGAATTATATCACACACATTATAATTGAAAAAAAAAATTTAATTAAAAAGAATTAATTAAAAAAAAATTAATTGGAAAAAAAATAATTGAAAAAAGGGTAAATTACAAATACACCTCTTGAGGATTGCTTAAAATACGAATTGCCCCTTATGGTTTGGAAAATTTCAAATACCTTCCTATCATAATTTTTTATTTAATAAAATTAATTGAAAAGTGAAATTTCTAATTGTTCACATATATAATAATAAAATTATCTGAATTATTAATTGAAATAAAATTTTAACATTATTAAAAATTGTTAATTAACTCGATAATTTATTAATAAAAGTACCTATTTGTTATGAAAATTAGAAACCTTAGGAGGTATAATGTAACTTCTAAAATCACAGGGATAATTTGTAATTTAAGTAAACCTTAGGGGGCATCTTTGTAATTTACCGAAAAAAATTAATTGGAAAAAAAAAATTGTTAGTCAAAATTTTAAATTTCTATTTAAAAACTAACGTAAACTCATTTTGATTTTATGTTTTTTCTCAAATTTACAAACTGAGACAACCATTTATAAACTAAAAAAATTATCAATAAGTTTTTATGACAGTTTTTAAATTTTTTGTAAATATAAACTGAAAACTAAAAACAAAATGGTTTTAGTAATCGTTTTTACACACTAATATTAATTATTCAACTATGAGGCCCTTGACCTTTATAATTTTATTTTGATCCTTACTTTTGAACTATTTCAATAAAGACCCTCGATCCCTTATTTATTTTCAATTTTAACTATAAAGCTGAAAACGAGCGCCAATTGAAAACTCGCAAACCTTGATTGGACCCAAGAACTCAGAGATCATTTCCAAAGCCCTAATAATAATTAAATTAATTCCCTAATTATATTTGCTGATCAAAACCCTAGGTTTTTGGTTCTCATTACAACTCGCCGTTTAATTCGAAATGAAGAAACTTTAACTGAATTGAAGTTCCAGATCCTAATTAAATTAAATACTACACTTAAATAAATGTTCCAATATATGAATTAAAACCAAAGCCCTCATATTTTTATTAAATCTCTACTTGACCCCAAACTAATACTAATATATATATATATACACTTGTACATTTAAACCTATATTATACACTAGGGAGCTGTTTGGGTGTGCAACCCATTAAAGGTTGCACATCGTATGCAACCCAATTATCTGCCCTTGGATTACAAACGATTAATCAAGACCATTGAATTGTTTAATGGCAGAAGATGGGAAACTTGAGCAACCAGTTAACTCTCTTTCATATTTTCCTCTCACTCCTCCACAATGATTATGCTTCTCTTTCTCTCTTTTTCTTCTCTCACTCATTCTCCTCATCCTCTACTACTCTCACCATCTCTGTGTAACCCTTAATTTCCAACAATAACTAGTAGCCTCTGTTGAGTTCCAGCCACAACGGGACTACAAGCCCCTGTTGGCTTCCATCGTTGAGTGAAGGTGTTCTCTCCAACCAGATAGATATCAGGTATATATGGACCTCTCTTTCTCTTTGTGTGTGTGTGTGTGTGTGTGTGTATTTGCCCTCTTCACTTCAATGATTTCCTCTACCAAAGCCTCATCTCAACTCCAACCTATCTACCACTTTTGAAACTCAAAATCCCTCAATCTACAACAATATCCACCCCTCTCCCTCAAATCGATTTATGAGACGCCCTAAAAATCTTTCTCTTATCGATTTTTAGCATGCACCGACTTTTTGTTTTTTTTCATGATTGATCAATTTCTCCGTCTCTTTCACACTTCTAAAATCAATTCTATTTCTACTCCTTGTAGTCATAGTTTCATTTTCCAAGTTAATTGTAGAATATGTGGTGTGCTTTAATAAATCAAAACACATACATGCATACTTGCATTGCATAGTTGGTTTGTTAACACAACGCTATTTGTACAAGCACAAAGGGAAGAAAGGAGGGAATTGATATTGATGAACACAAGAAGTAAATAAGAGAAAAAAATGACAAAATGAATGAAAAAAAAATAAATGTAGGAAAGGGGATGGGTAATTGTTTGTGTTTGCAAGGACATTGCCAATTCTTCCTTCATGTTAATCAGTTATATTTTTCTCTATTTGGTGATAATGGGTTTAATGTATTTTTTGAAAAATATATGATTTTAATGTTTATAGATTTTGCATGTTATGGTGATTTGATTAGAATTTAGTTCAGTTCATGGCCATTGTTAAATTTAACAAATGGAATGTGTGGAAAGTGAATGATATACTCTAGGCGAAGAAAAAGTGAGATTATTGTGTTGTTCAACATTACTTGAATTGAGATCTTTTAATCTATTGCCGCTGTATCTTAATTCCACGGTTTACTAATTTATTGTCATTGTTGAATTAGTGGGCTTTTGGTTTCTATAATTTTTGGATTTCAGCTAGATTTTTCTATATTGTTCATTTTGAATAAAGAACTTGGAAATATTATCAAATATCTGGGGCCCTTGCTTGGGTTTTGATTCTCACTAAAGTAACTATCATTGTGGATTGTAACTCTTAGTTGATTGGACATGTTGAAAAATTAAATTGACAATTTCTCTTGTAGTGTGGCAGGTATTACTATCATTGTGGGTTGTAACTCTTAGTTGATTGGATATGCTGAAGGATTAAATTGACAATTTCTCTTACAATGTGGCAGGCATATATGAGTTTAATATATGGGATTCAGGTCTTGTTGAGCCAAGTTTCTATATGCAAGTTTGTTGATTCTCATAATTATGCATAATTTTTTGCAAATAACCTTTTTTTTTTATATGCAGTCTACCCATGGTGGCTAGTTAGTAGCTCATTCTTGAATAGAAAATTGATTTACTGAACAAGTTTAGAAAATGAAATAAATATGTCAAGAACTCAATAAAAATGCCATTATTTCCAGGAACAAAATGTTTGTTATGCTTAATAGCTTTAGTTTGATCTATATTTGTATGAAGGGTGTTGTTTAAGTGTGCAACCCCTTTAAGGTTGCACAACATATGCAACTTAATTATTAGCGTTTAGATTACAAAGAATTGATCAAGACGATTGAATTGTTTAATGGTAAAAGACTGAAAACCTAGGCAACTGGCTAACCCTCCTATTTCTATCCCACTTCCCTCACTCTCTCTCTATTTCTTCTCTCCCTCTTCTCTTCCTTTGTGTAGCCCTAGATTGATTTCCATTAACAAGAAGAAGCCTCTGCTGGGTTCCATTGTTGAATCTTTGTATAATCCTTGATTTCTAGCAACAACAGAACTACAAGCCTCTATTGGGTTCCACTGTTGAAGTGAAGACATTCTCTCTAACTAGATATCAGGTATGGCTCTCTCTCTTCGCCCTCTTTACTTCAGCGATTTTCCCTCAACCAAACCCTCATCTTAACTTTAACCCCCCTATGATTCGCTCAACCAGAAACCCCTTCATCTGCAATTATAACCTCTCTCTCTTTCTCAATCGATTTATGGGGAAGCCTTAACTCTTTCTCTCTCTCTCTCTCCCTCTCTCTCAATCAATTTTTGG